AAACTAGATGATGGACCAGTTCACGAAATCATGATCTAATCCAAAACTAGCGCTTTGTGTTACCCGTCCAATTATTTATTATTGGATTGGTCGTTTTATAAAAAATTGAGATTAAAAAACGTCCTTTTCAAATTTGACAAATTGTTCTTATTGAAAAAGGAATCAAAATCTCATTTAATCCTGTTGCCAACATCTTCAAGTCTTCCTAGATTTGTTGGTTCAAAAATTTGAAAAATGACTTTTTTTTTGATTCAACATATCTTCGATGCCAATTCACTAGCGAATTATCACAATAAATTACGACATTTTCACTGTGCTCTTGGCAAATTGATTATAACTAGTAAGTTTACCTAGCAGGTAAGCATACACAACGTTAATCTTTCGAATTAGTTGTACATAAATGTAACTAAAATTCATATTTTATTATGGTTGCTAAAATCGTTAAAATTGAAGATGTGTTCTTAAACCCATCATTCAATAACAGAAAATAGCTAAAATGCCTACAAATAATAAATAAAAAACTATTTTTTAATAGATTGAAATGCACACAAACTCAATTTTTTAATTGATTTTTTTTTTTTTTTCTTATAATAACCTAAATGTGGCTTGCACAATAATTACAGATTTCCCCAACTAAACAAACATGTGTAAAAACACCGCAACCATAAACGTTCATTCATAATCCATATATATCCGAAGTTGAAGCGTTCATATCCCAGATATTTCCAAATTTGAAGCATCAAATTCCAAATTTGTATTCAATGAATTATTATGAATTATTGAAATTTGTTTTTTTTAATGATAGTTGTATTCGACTATCGATTGTTTTATTATTTGTTATATTTATCACTATAAGTTACACCGTTGTTGCATAAAAAATAACTTTAAAAAATACACTTTGATTAATTAAAAAAAGTATTGTTTTCCGTTCAGCATCAACAATGATTTTTCTTTAACATATTCAGGATTATAATTGAAAACATCTAGTTAAATGTTCCAGCAAGTAAGGATAATAATAATATTCGGTTCCTAAATAATTAACTGACGGTTTCCAATTATTGTTGTTATTATATTCATACATTTGCATAAAAAAATAAGTTGAATGTTATTTTGCTTTACCTTAAAATACGTGTTCTTCTTCCTTTAATTTTTTGTTTCTCCGTTAAATGGTTTCAATCAGAATCCAAACAGGCCTCCGTACTTCACTTTGTTTGTTTTCTTGTGTATTTTCTTTATTATATTATATTGCATAATTAATAACCTTTGTGTATTTGTTTGCTTTTGTATTTTCTTTTTATTATTATGTTGCATAATAATAAACTTTGTGTGTTACACTATTGCATAAAAAATTTTTTTTATCAAAGGATTTTTTTCTTTTATCATTATTAAAATAATGAATTTTTTTTTTTTGAAAGTTTTTATATGAGCTTTTATTTTTTATCGAAAAAAGAAAAAGGTAGGGTTGGAAAATTGATTTTTTAAAAAAGATTAAAAAAAAAGATTTTGTCGTTATTTTTGGTTTGTGATATCAAATGACGACACCATAAAATCTCGAAAGGTAGCACCTACTTTAAAACAATTGAGAATCATGTGTTACACAGTCGTAAAAATGGGGTGCTATCTTTCGAAACTTTACGGTATTTGTTTAAATATAAAATCAAATGACGATAATTTAACCACAAGTTTAAAATTTTCTGTAACTAGTGTATATAATATATATATATTGTAGATAGGTATTTTTATTATATTGATCATTTTAGCACTGTAATCCTTTTTAACAATGAAGCGAAGATAATTTTACAAGAAAGTCGTGAGAAAATTAATTGATGGAACAACTAACACAGAAAATTTTATAAAGAATAACATTTATTCATGAGAAGATTGAAGGTAATCTCTAATCACTTGCTTTCACAACTATTTTAAATTGAAAAATAATCACAAGGTATGATTCTCTTACATTCCATCGGATGATTTATTGGTCATACAGACTAATACGTTACTTTCCATAACCTTATATGTTTACTAAACATACAGTACATTTATTTATTATAATTCAATTTTTTTTTAGAACTCAAATTAGCAGATTTTTTGAAAAGTTAAAGAACATCCACAACAAAAATGAAATATTTGCATCTTGCCACCACTGAATGGACTCTTCACCTCTCAATATGCTTCAGGGAGAAGGTTATAGAAAATTTATCAAGAAATTAGATCAAATGTCATTCATTATAACCATTATGCACAAAAAAACTTTGTAATCCGTTTCAAAAAAATTTCATAGTTTTTCATTTAACAAATAACAAAATTATAGAACCAGGTTAGAACTTTCTATTGATTATTAAAAGAGAAGTCTAGTTTGATTATTGGCTATTCTACACCAGGTTGAAAGTGTTTCTGCTTTTCACATTTATTTTAAGATTTTCTTCCAACTAGCAAGTAGAGTAGAGCAAACTCAACAGTAACAATTGTGCCAAAGTACTCCTTACAAAATCAGTTACAACTACTTGGAAAGTTGCATTGGACTTTTATTATAAAGAAACTGATTTATGATTATTTATATAGTTATTATTTTAGAATTATGTGAACCAAAATTTCAAAAATAATGCTAAAGGTTAAGTAAATAATGAATCTAAATTCTATTATCTATTAATACGCAAAAAAAAAATATAAATATCATTATAATCCAATTGGTTTAGAAGGATATTAATATTTACAATGATATTCGATTGTTAGAAGTTGACAAGCCCAAGGAATTGCAAATGACGTTTAATCTTAATTTAATATAGCAATGGAAGGTTGTCGACTCTTTATATTTTTGAAAAAAAAATTTTATTTCACTACAAGAACCATATCTGTTTTAATTAACCAATATCCACATACACAATCATTATGTATAAAATATTCAATGCTTGCCAAAATTATCCTCAATTAAAAAAAAGTATATATCAATATATATGTATAAATTTAACATCTTCACACTTTTTCCTGATATCATTATAATAATCTATATCCATCATCACAATATCTTTATAATAATATATATATATAATTAATTAATTAATTGTAAAATAATAATCCTTGCATCCTTGCTGTTGTGGCAAATGAATAGGTCTTTCACGAATTGTGTCTGTTTGAATGTTTTGATTAAATTTCTTATAGTATGTATGTACATAAGTAAATATAATTATTATAAGAAAAAATAAACTCAATGTCCTTAACTTTCTCTATAAACAATATCATCCACAGCTATTTGTTTAAAATCCTATTTAAAGCAATATAGGATGGGAAACAATAAATAAAATATAACTACTCAAGAAAGCCAAAGCTGTTAAACGAATCCAAATTAACATTAAAATTATATTGTTTAACTAAATTTAAAGATTAATTCCAAAAGTTGAAATTTGTACATTACCCAATTTCATGTCAAAACCAGCATAATAATTGTCTTGACTAAACTTGATGACTAAAATAGTTTATTCAGTTTAGTCAAGTGTTCATTCGAGTTACGCGTCAAAATAAAGGTTTTATCAAAACCATTAAAGCATACAAATGTAATTTTACCCATTGTAGTTACTTTGTCAAAGAATCATCTATAATACTAATTTTCCAATTTTATTTATGTATTATTATTATCTCCATCATTGAAGAAAAGCTTTAACATATTCTCTAAAAATAAAACATAGGCAATTTAGTGCATTTATCAAGAATAAGAAAAAGTAAAATAAAACTTGACGGAAACGCTCGTTTACATAATAATAATAATAATTTTTTTCGTACGTATTATGACTTTTTTAGCAATAGCCATTTTTGACGATTTGATGAAACTCTCTAGGTTCGGCTTTCTTTTGAACAAATTTTTAATCAACAAATTTTTAGTGAAAAATGCAAGTTTTTGCTATTTCTCTTTATTTGATTAAGATATTAATGTAACTTGTCTTGATTTTTATGCTATAAAGACAAAACAGTTTTGCCTTATCCAAATTTGATTTTATAATTCTCAAACGTCAATTAACAACAATGAAGGGAATCTGTTTTTTATGTTTCTCCTTGTCATCATCACCTTTGTAGATGCAAATCCACTTCCAGAAAACCTAGAAAAAAGGTGTATTCAATGGCAAAGCCAAACATTCTCTAGAAATTGTGGTCTATTTAATCAGGGTCCCTGTAGAAAAGTTTGTAGATCAGAAGGACACGGGAACCATTGGCATAATATTGGATTTGCTTGTTTCTGCTATATTTGTTAATTTGTAAATTTAAATGTCATCCTTAGATATTAGTTCTTATAAAACTCATATATCTTCCATTTCTCTTATCTTGATCTTTTTGCTTACTCTTTATTTTTTATAAATAGGTAAAAATAAAGTTTTATAGTAAATGTTTCTTCTCTTTTTTCTCAGCAAATCTCAAAACGATGATTTTCATTTTATTATAAAGATATATTCGATACCCGAATAATATTCAGTGCGATCCGATTTTTTACAAAAGTGAGTGTGAGATTAAAATTTTCGATATTAATATTAATATACGCAAAAGTAATCAAAATTTTTGATCTAACGATATGTAAAGGCAATACGTCAAAGTATAAATCAAATTTTTTGACATGAAAAATGGTATCCGAAAGTGCCAACTATGCGAGAAAGTTTCTAGAGTGCGAAAACATAGTGTGCATTCTGTGATATGCAAAGGTAGAAAGAAAAAATTGTGCCTTTACGTATCACCAAGTGGGATAACAATTCAGCACTATGTGCCTCATCCTCTAATTCGAATGGAATGTAAAACAAAATCAATGTACGTTTTTTTTTTGGTCTACATGCGAGGAGTAATCTCGTTTGCTTTCCCTGGAGTGCTCCCATAGTCGATCGTGAACACTTGTTCACGGTAATCACGTTAGTTACATCTCGGAGCCTGAATTCAGGCTATAACTCTGCCTCAATGCAACACCGTCACTCACATATGTTAAGAAACGTGGCTAAAAACGCGAAATCCACCGCATTCGAGTGTGGCCAAAAATTCAGAATGAGCCACATTCAAAAGTGGCGATTTAGGCTACATGGGCATAAGTAGGTAATAATATATACATATTGTTACCTACTATAATTATATATCTAATATTTTCATTGTCAATTGGAAAACCATCAATTGTGAAAGTTCTTTTTCTTCTTTTATCTAAGCTTTTAAATTCAAAATGCGGAAATGTTTCTTCTTCAGCGCTGTGCTACCTTGCATGTAATTATATAATTATAATAATATTATTAATAACGATTACGCAAAGCAAAATGCCAATCGTTCATTCGTTCACCATCTTGATAAGGATCTTATAAATACCCAGCGAGATCTGCCCACGTTTTGATTCCAATTAAAATATTTATAATAACCAAAAAAGACAATACAAATAAAAAAAAGTACCTCTGGTTAGTTATTAACACGTCTTTTTTAGGAGAACCGCGTTTTGTCTGTCAATTGTTTTTCAAAAAAAAAAAATCAATCACGTCAACAAAAAAAAAATCATTGTGCCAATAATAATATATAATATTTCGTTTTACGTGTTTGTTTATTTTTTTAAAATTAAAAAAACAAAAAATAAAGAGAAGAGGAAAAATCAAGAAAATAGTTGGCAGGAAACTGCCGGGTAAGTGTTTATCATAAGAATGGTGGTGGCTATCGCCACTTGTCATTACCCTAGTTAAATTGTTCACTATTTGTCATTCTAGTTAATTAATATATTTGACGTGGCTAAATCAACTTTTGTATTCACTTTTTAGATTTGTTCTGTTACAAGAAAAAGAAAATGTAAATGATGTACAGACAGATCATTGCTTTGACAATAATTTTACTAGTGAACGTGGGCCTTCAAAAAATTCTCATAAAAGACCATTAAAATCAACAAGCAATGACAAGGCTACATTTGCTGATACTCCACCACTTAAAAAAACTTTGTACTAATACTAATACACAACATAATAGCATAGAATTAATGTCATGGAAGCAAGCGAAAGAAAAATTGGCTACTCTTTTCACTAATGAAGATGAACGCGGAAAAATCAAAGGTCTTCTTTTGAATAAACCACTAGAAGAACGGTTAGAATATTTTGAGGATGGAGATAAGGAGGTGACTGCTGCTCTTAAAACGCTTTTACAAGGTAAAAAGTAAATATGGTAAACTGTTTGAGAAACCATAATAGCAAGAATATTTATATTTGAGATGTAACATCTGGTATTTTATTATCTTTTTACACATATCTTACACTCAAGATTATGTTATATTAAATGAAGGTAAACATTATTGGAAGAAAATTGATTTTATATATCAATGTGTATCATTGAAAATTTTATCATTTACATATTTTATTCTTTTGCCTGTACTGACTTTTTTTGCTTCATAATTTGATAGACTTTTTAGAACGACTTAGCAAAAAAATAGCTGAAGAATTATGCAAAACCAAAACAAACAACTGAATACAGTCCAGCATCAGCAGCAGTTTGGAATCGATTCCAGAATGTAATCAATTTGGTTGAAATTTGGAATATTGCAATAGATATAAATTATCCAAGAAATAATGAAGATATTTCAATCTAATTGATTGTTAATTAATATCACCTAATTTTTTATAAGAACGTACAGAGTCACTATGTGAATGCATGATTTTCTGTTGTGCTTTATAAGATCTTATCTTCTCAAGAAAGTCCAAAGGAGTGCCAGGAATTATTGCTACATTTAATTCATGTATATGTTTATTAAAATATAATATATATTTTTCTTTATTATTGAAAAGATTTGTTGACTACAAACGAGGTCTTTATGGAACATAAAGAACGCGAGTTCTCCAAATAGGAATGCTAATATCTTCTGGTGTTCTATATAATAAAATAGAAATAAATTTATAAATTCAAACAAAAAAAAGGTATTATGCTAACAATCAATATTTTTCTTTTAAAAAAAAAAAACTTAGAATTACTTGTCATCAATGAAAACATGACTATCATCATATACTATTAATTGTGAAATATATTTCAACAATGTTGTCTTGCTAACTAATCTTCAAACAAAACAACGTTAATAAAAAAGAAGACCATTTATTTAATATTCATTATTATATATTGACCCAACACCACTTGGTCCAGCAATAGTTATTATCTCCTTGTCAAAAAGAGTAAATGAAATGTCTTTAAACAAATAGCTTCCATCTGGTTTCTTCTTTGAAAGATTTTCAACTTTAAATCTCATGATGATTATAATTATTTTTTTAAAACAATTTTTTTCAGATATCAGTGTAACGTCTACACATTTTGCTTTGTGTATAAATGCCCATTCATTACTGTTATTTTATTATTCTCATTGGATACCAAAAACGGTAAAGTGATCATGATTTTCTTTAAATTCATTGGTCAAACAACTTTCACGTGATATTCTTCCGTATCAAAGCGTGTATAAATTGACCAAATTGATCACAATTTAAATTTTTTGCAGGTAAAAAAATATAAATAATAAATACCATGAAAAAAAAAAAAATTAAATTATTTTCTTTATTAATTATTATCATCAATGCCACGAATAGATACTACTATTGTTACTAGCAGTAATAATAATCATCATAATGTCATTGAAAATGAACCAATACCTTTAAAAGTGCTTGCTATTGGTTCTGCATACGAAGATACTATATTGTATGTTGATAAGTTTCCTCCTGAGTATGGTAAACAAAGAGCTCAAAGAGTTGAAAGAAGAAGAGGTGGGAATGCTGGTAACACCTTAACTGTTTTATCACAACTCCCTTTAACAACATGTCATTTTATGGCCTCTATGGCTTCAAAAGAAGCCTCAATGTAAGTTCTGTATACACATTAATTTTTTTTTTACAGTACAATAGGTTGAAATTTTCTAACTATTAACTTATAGATTTTTAATACAGGATTTTAAAGTTCATGATATAAACACTTCGGCATGTATATTCAGATCTAATGCAACTCATGCTCCGGTAGCATATACAATGCATGCTGACAATACAGTTCAAGAACGATTATAAATTATAATAGGTATTTTTTTTTTTCATAATTTCATGAAATAAATCAAAAATTCAATTTCTTCATTAATGGCATTCATTTATTAATTTTCTATTCTCCCGAAATGTAAAATAGCATAGATGAATTAGCATTTGATGAATTCAAAAATAAATTTGATTTAATTTGTGCTGAAGAAACAATATTCAACATGTCAAATTATAATTATGAGGTAGAAGATGAAGATGGAGCACCTTTTAATTGGATTCATTTTGAAGGAAGAAATGCACAAGAAGTATCAAAAATGATTGATTATATTGACAGTAAGGATTGGAGGTCAAGGGCAATTGTTAGTGTCGAATTAGAGAAACCTTACCGTAAAGGCTTGGAAATTTTGATGAATAAATCAGATGTTTTATTTTTCTCAAAAGTATTTGCTGAAGGCAAAGGCTATATTAATCCTAATGATTTCTTACAAATAATATTAAATTGACTATCAACTCCAAAAGGGTTTAGTTAAATTATTAATATCTTTTTCTATTTTTTTTTTTTCTAAAAATAATTAGTGCATATCTTTTTTGTACTTGGGGAAGTTTAGGAGCCACATGTTATCATATTACAACATGTAAAACTTTATTCTGCATCTGCTCATAGAATACTCAATATTGTTGATTCTATAGGTGCTGGTGATACTTTTAATGCTTGAATCATATATGGGTTGTCTCGAAAAATGCCAATTTGATGAATGTTTAACATTTGCATGCGAGTTAGCAGGTCGTAAATATGCCCAAATTGGGTTTAATGGTGTAACAGAGGCAATAAGATGCGTTTAAATATTTATATTCGATTTTTTATTTTATTAATTAACTGTATTTTATTTTAAATTTGTACATTATTATTTACTACTAATTAATTAATAATTGCATCACTCTTAACAACATTCTTTTATTATTTAATAATTTAATTGATGTTTCTATTACTATACAATATAACTTACCAAATAGAATTAACTAATAAACGATTTTCAAGTATATTAATATTAAGGGTGTGTCAATTTATATGTAGATCGGCGGCTCAAAAATCTGAGTTATACAAGTTACATAATAATAAAATTATGCAAAACGCGTCAAAATTTTTTTATACGTATGTAGTAGATTATAAACCCCTTTAAAATTTCAAACAAAATAATTTAGTAAAAACTTTTAATTTTCAAATTCATAATAAATAATCTAAATTTCTTACACTTGTTATTATTTTTTTGGTCTTTATACTAGATTTAACAATACCTTCCTTCTTTTTTTTTTAAACTATTTACCATATTATTATAGAATTTAATTACAGACACTTGTATTTTATTTTATTATTATTTTAATTTACTTTTACGGTTTTCCAACTACACACATAATTTCATTGTAAGTGAACAACTGACAAATTAAATTCATTCAAATCTTGAAAACTATTTGTAGCAGTCGTATATATTTGCGGCAGTCGCGACAGCCGTAATTATTTACGGCAAATGGTAGTTACCAGCCTATTCCGGCACATATTTGGGATACTACTAAAGATGGGATATTTAAACAACATAATTCGATTGTCAAGAATTCGTGAAAAATAAATAAATAATAATAACTTTAATTATTACAACTTTTGTACAAAAATTTAAAATAGTTATAATAATGTTATATAAACAAAAAAAAATTTATTTTTATTATTTGTTTTTAAATTTCATCATCATCATCATCACCATCATCGTCGCCACCATCATCGTCATAATGTTGTTCATATTCTGATCCATACTCTGATAATTCTTCATCAGGTTCTGATGTTTCTTCTTCTACATCATCATCGTCATCATTACCATCATCGTCATCATAATTGTCAACATCGTCATCATCATCATCTACATCATCGTCATCATCAACAATTTCTTCATGTATCTCATTATTTTCTTGTGATTCATCATCATCATTTTCTGGTGGTTCTTCATCATTTCCAATTGTATCTTCATCCTCTATATTCATTTCATCATCGCCATCATCATCATAATTTTTAATTTCATCATCTCCTTTATTATCTACATGCTCTTCATTCACAACATCATTTTGTTTTGCCAAGCCCGCCACCAAGTCCATTAATGTTTCCAACTCTCCTTTTTGTTCACATAATTGCCTAAACACACTGTTTGGATTATTCAAAAGTTGATCTGGTGTATCAAATTCGACCACTCTACCTTCGTCTAATAGAAGAGAACAAAATTAAAAAAAACAAACAAACTAAAAAAAATGAATAAAATAATAATTTAATTAAAATAACTTACCAAGGACAAAAATTTTGTCAAAATTTATTATGTTTTTATATTGGTTTGATACACATAACACTGTATTATATTTAAATTCATTTTGAATAATTTTTTGAATTTTATCATCTGTATCGGGGTCAACGTTTGCAGTTGCTTTAATTATAATAAAAAGAATTTTTTGTTTTAACATTTAAAATTTACTATTGTTTAAATATGAATATATATAACAATCTAAAATAATAATACCTTCATCCAATATTATTATCTTTATTATAAAATAAAGATATGATTTGATTTGATTTGATTAAAATATAAATTAAAATATTTGAGAAATTTAAATTAGAAAAATTTTATACCTTTGATCTACGAAGTAATGCTCTAGCAAAACAAATAAGTTGTCGCTGTCCTTTAGAAAACGTGCTGCCTCCATCAATCACAGGATCTTCTAAACTTGTAATAGGACCAATATTCAAAAGTGGATTGCTTGTTGAATCACTTTCAATTTGAGACAGATGTACCCTTTTTAAAACATCCCACAATTCATAATCATCATTATAAACTTCACCAATGTCAAGATTTGAACGAATTGTTCCCTCAAAAAGAACTGGATCTAAAACCAATTGATTTGATATTATATTATTATCATCATCCATTGATTTAATTAATTTTACACAATTAACGATATAGTAAGCAAGCAAGTACCTTTCGATATAATTGTTAGCTGTGTTCTCAAACCCTTTGAGCCAATATTTGCAATGTTAATACCGTCAATAATTATGCTACCGTCAACGGTATCTGTAAGTCTAAGAAATGAATTGACTAGAGTAGTTTTACCAGAATTCGGCCTGCAATATTTTTTTAAAAAAATAACATCAATCAATAAAAAAAAACTTCTATAAAATCAATTATATAATTTTAAGTAACCTTCCAACAATTCCAATTTTTTCTCCTGGGTTAACAACAAATGAAACATCATGAAGTACTGGCACCGCATCTTGCGAATATTTAACTGTTAGGTTAGATACTTCAATATATCCATCTGTAGGCCACTGAAAATATATTACAATAAAAAGATAAAACAAATTTAAAAATGTTTGCATTAATTTATGCATGTATTAATTTAAAAGTATCAAATTACCGCTGCTGGTAAATTGCTGCTGTTGATGGTGGATAATGGCTCTTGTGGCAATCGAGTGTATTCCTCAATTCTCTCAACACTTATTACCAAATATGAATCATAATAATGGGTGGCTTTAAAAATAATTTTCAAATATAAGGTCTTTTGTAATGATTTATATATATGCAACTCACCTGCTAAACCCAGTTTCCATAGTTGAATAATCTTTAACAAGCATCTAAATCTCCGGGGAAAAATAAAAATGAATTAAACTAAAACTTAAACAAAAAAATTGAATAAATCAATAATCATTTTGATCATAAATACTCACAAATACAATTTGTACAAATCCAAGCGCATAGGTCATACAGAAACCAGCCAATCCTGCATTAATTCTTTCTATATCCCATAATATAAAAATAGCGGCTAAATATGAAGCAATCGCACCAATAATGCCCAAACGTATCGACATCCATCTATTTGACATATGAAGAAGATAGGTTGTTCTATTGGAAGTGTTTAATCTATCAACCATAAAGATTTGTTTAAGATGATATAAACGTTACAGATTTATTAAAATGTTTACAAGAATTTTTATACAATAAACATTCTTATTTACCTGCTAATAAATTTCCTAGAAAAGTCACGTTCAGAACTAAAAGCTCTTATTGTTACTACGCCCCTAATACAATTTTTCAAAAAATCAAGTTATATATTATTAAAAATGAAATATAAATTTTTGAAAGGCCAAGTCAAATCAATTGTATTAAATTGCTTACGTTACTGTTTCATTGAACCATGATACCACTGGTGATCGAGTCACAGAATGTAATCGTTTTAACTCTCTTGAAACATTTATGTATTTGATGACAACATAAAAATATAATACAACTATACAAAACATTTAAAAACAATTTGGTTAGTTATTTTGTGTAAAAATTACAAATAAAATGCAATCAAAAAAATATGTTATGAATTTGATCACCTACCAACTACAAATGAAACAAAAATAAACTCTTGGACAACAACACTAACAACTACGAGCACACTTAATGCACCAACAGAATTTCCCAAAAAACTTGAAATAACTGTAATAAGACCTTGATCTAAAACCCCTAAATCTTTTGAAAATCTGTTAATTATTTTTCCAAGTGAAATGGCATCAAAAAAACTTAAAGGCGCTCTTAGAATAGAGTTTAGCAGTTTTTTGAAAATGTTCCTAGAACCCTTAAGCGATATAAATGATTGCCATGATGTACGGAATATAGTAAACAATGCAGATGCTAATGCAATAAGACCATAAACCAATATATGATATTTTGAAAATTTTGGATTATTATACGAAAACTGCACTATTGTAGTAGTAATGTTATCTTTCCCATATACATCTGACCATACTTTCAGCCAATAGGTTTCACAAACTGTTAAAAATCGAACAGTGATGAAAAAAAGAACCAGTATTAACCATATAAAAAATCCACCGCTTGATTTCATATAAAAACGATAAACACGAGCTGGTATTTTTCCTTGAGATCGTGCTAAATAAAAGAAATTAAATTAGTAAATAAAATTATTTGTTAATAGTGAAGTTTTTGTTGTCATTGATGTTGTTGAAAATGACAACCTTCGGTTACTTGATTCAATAAATTTTGTTCGCCTTTTCCTTTTTTTGTTGAATCTGACTTGATGTCTTTATCAAGAATTTCTTCCGTTAAAAACTCAGATGCACGAACTTCCTCAGGTGAACCTTTAGCTAGAACTGTAGACTCTCCAAGTATGGCTACGTAAGTTGCAGTATCCAAAAAATTTTTTACATATTGGGTTACAAGTATAACGGTTTTTCCACTAACATATGATCCTTTTAAACATTTTTCAATTATCTTTTGTGCTTTAAATAATAACAAGAATTGTTATTGATTGCTATTAATTTAGAGCGTTAAAAAATTAATTGAAAAATAAAAACCTATATCAAATTCAATAGACGATAAAAAATCATCTATTAGTAAGTACTGAGCTGAACTGTATAATGCACGTGCCAGAGTAATCCTAGCCTTTTGGCTATCAGTTAGGATTAGATTTTTTTCATCATACTATTAAATTCAAATTTCAAAAAAAATTTAAAATATATACACATAGACAGACATATATTATGATTTTGTTAAAAACAAAATGAAAAAAAAATATACCTCTGTAGAATCAGCCTCTTTCAAACTTCCAAAGACTTCTGTTAAACAACAAGCATCAACTATATGCCAATATTTATCAACGTCAAATGCCTCGCCAAATACAATATTATCCCTTATGCTTGAACTCTTTAGCCATGGTTGTTGTGGCACATATGCAATTGGTTTAGCGGGAAATTGAATGCTTCCACGCGTTATAAATGTCTCTCGAAGAAGTGATAGAATAAGCATAGTCTTTCCAGATGATCTGCTACCGCCTTTGCAATAGTAATGGTGATTAAACCTTTACATGTTTATAAATAATAAATAATGAAATAATAACTATAAATTTTTTATATGCATACATATTACGCTTAATTTTCCTACAGGAAATTCCAAGTTGACACCTTTCAAAGTAAACGCATTACTGCCTCTGGTACTTGGATCAAGGCTCCAGGAAATATTAGCATCATAAATTCCTAGAACAGTTCTATCGTGATCCGAAATGGAAGGTGATATTTCTCTTTTGATTTCAATTTCATATAAAAACTTTTCTACTTTACTGACAGCGACACTGAATCCCACAAATTCTATTAGTAGATTAGGTAGTATTTGCATTGGTTGCTTCAATATGTTGAATAGTGTAATACTAGTGAATGCTATATCTGCCGTCAATTCATGGCCAAAGTAAGTATAAAAGCCAAAAGCAAATAATGTAACAAGGAAAGGTGTAACATGGATATGTAGAGTGTGAAATGTTGTGCGCCAAAAAAAACGACCAAGTTGATTAAGCTCATTTTCACGTGAAGCTGTTAATAACCAATAAAAACATATATTAATCATTTTTTTAATAATAAATTATATATAATATTATACATAATTTTTAAATAATTACACATCAATTTCTTATAAAAGATATCCTCCCAAGCGAACATTTTAATAATTCGAATTGCGTGAAGAAACTACAAAAGTTGGTAATAAAAAAATTTTTTTAATAGTTGATTTAAATATGCAAATAAACAAATATAAAATAAATAAATTATATTTATATTTATATTATTCTACCTCAAATGTTTTATTGACTCTATCATCCCTTGCTTTTTTAACTCTTTTTTGTGAAACTGTGACACGTCTACTAAATCTTTTATTACTCCAGTAAAGACATATTGCCATTACCAAAATACCAATAAAGCCAGAATTACCCAATAATACGTATAAATAAACAATTGCCAATACTATTTCCAAGATAATCGTCAAAACGAATGGAAGATTTGAAAAAAACCCTGAAATCTGGTCAACATCTGTTGTGATAAGATTACTTGGGCGAACACTACCATTCCTAGCATTAGTTTTTAATCTCAATTGTTTTTCATAAACTGATACACTAAGCATTTGTTCTACTCGAATACCTAACCAAACTACCTGATAATTCAACTGATTTAAAAAAATTATTCTGGATAGTTCAGAGACAAGTATTCCAAATGCATAAAGAAATGGTTTCTCATCAAGTGGATTTGTAGGATCTAGCAAGGTTCTCAATAATTGTTGCAAAAAAAATGGCGTTGTAAATGCTAGCATTGATCTTAATATTGCAATTATAAGAAACATGACTAAATTTCTAGCATTAGCAAGAATTAGTCGTGAAAATAACCCCACATTTGATATTCTATTTAAAAAAGAGGAATTAAATTTTAAATAACTGAGATAAATAAATAAAAAAAAAAACAAAAATTGATATAACAAAATTACCCTTCTAATTCATTGTAACATTTTGTTGCTTGACATTTAAATGGCAATTCCCATAAATCCTTCTCATTAAGAACACGTGTATTTCCTAATTTAATCATAGGAGCCATCCACGCAAAAGTGAGCAAGGACCATAAAGAAGCAGTTGTGTCATGAGATACTTCTCTATTTTTAACAGCTGGTTTCAATTGAGGATTTCGAGGTCTTTTCAACGAAAAACAAAATAATAAAGTACAAGCAATAACATCCCATATGGCGAAAACCATTTCATAACCTTTTTTTACATCTATTCCTTTTCTAATCATGGAACGAAGGTTAATACATGCAACTATTAAAAAAAGTGTATAGAAAATAAGAAGATGTCTTAAATATGCATATTGTGTTTGATTTTTTCTTGTCATAAAATGACATCCTATCAAGGCCGCTATATAAAACTATAAAAATTATTTCGAATTTTTTTTAAAATAATTAAATTAGACATATTTTTTTTATTAATATAAATATAAATATAATAATAATAATAAATTACATTACCCATGATACAAATTGTCCAGCAGCACCAATAACCCAATAAAGTCCGTAATCATTGTTCTCATCATATTCATCGAATCTCCAGCCAACAAGAAAGCTCACAAATCCTAAGTGAAAAAAAGATATAACAAATTGACCTATATCATATTTTGAGACAGGTATATATCCACGTTCATGTATTGTTGATAGTTGATTGTAGTGGTAACGAGAGGAGCGTGGACTTCCTGTCTGCGAGCAAGCTAGACGACATAATAAATCTGTTATGGATATAACGATAAAACCGATGGGAATTATGGCATTCAAAATACTGAACGGCCCAAAACGTTGTAAATGCTTTTCAGTGAAAAAGACAAATTTGATCATATGCATATGATATATATGCAGTTTCTTAAAGCAAAAAAAGAATGCCCATAACAAGCATATTACTAGAGTACATACACTTCTCTTGCGCAAGGTTGTAAATCAAGACCATCGTCACTTCCTGGTCCCTATCCACACATAGTATAAGTTTTTTTTATTGAAAGTTGAAAAAATTGGTAAGTGCTTGTGAAAGGTCATTTCAAGGGCTAGCTCACCCAATCACCCGAACCACATAGACTACTCATACTTCTCAGCATTGCATAAAAATTCGTAGATTCTTGTTGTCCTTGATGTATTTGATAAAAAAAAAGTTTTTATTGAAAAAATTTGAAATTCGTTACGTAAATTTCAATTTTGAAATAATAACAGATAAACGAATTATAGAGTATAATAATCCTTAGTTTATCAATAGGAAGTTTTATGTAAGTAGATGATTGTCTATTTATTTCTCTTTATAGAATTTTCAATGCACGCATTGTTTAATATTTATTTATTGATCACGGCGCCATTTAATCTGATCTAATCAAAAAAAAATTTTTTTTCTTTGATAATGGGTAAAATATCGAAAAAAAAGGAATCCAAAAAAAGTATATTGGCATTTCCTATAGATAATAATAAAATTACTGATTTAAATAACGATCTAAATAATCAAAAGGATATGACTAGTGAAGATATTTTACCTGTGATTAAGCAGGTAAAAGTTCTTTTTTTTTTAAATAAAGTTTTTTTTGAAAATTTGAAATTAAAAATTTTTATCATTATTATCACCATCATCGTCATCACCACCATCATCATCACCACCACCACCACCACCATCATTATCATTAAAAGTTGTCATCACTTGATGCTAATGAACGTGCATGGGCAGCAAGTTGTGCTTCTCATTTGGTATTATCAGATCCTGGTACTCGACGTCTTCTATTATCAAAGAATCTTATAAGATCACTAATAGAAAGATTAACAGATAATGTTTATGAAGTGATTTTTGAAGTAATCGGAACATTAAGGTAAGCATCAGTTCGTTTAGCTTAATTTTGTAAATATTAAATATATAGTCAAAATCTTGATTTACTAAGGATAATACAAGACTTTGTTTAAAGAAATAGAAATTTTACTATGCGGTAGTATTAATAATGAATCTCGTTGTATTTTTATACATATTACTGTATATTTTATATAATTTTATATAATAGAAATCTAACAGTTGTAGGAGAATATGATATCTGTGCAGAAATGTTTAATAAAAATATTCTTACACCATTGATAACATTAATACCAAAAGTAATATTAATGATATAGTGAAGTTCTAGATTATTATTTTATATTTTATAACAATTATGTTTTTTTCTTCATTGTTACTTAGATTTCTGTTGTAATTAATAATATATTAAAAGGCATTCCTCAAGAATCGGATCCATTTGTAGCCGCTAGATCAACGATTTGGAAGTTTGCAGAAAATATTATTTGCATATTTTGGTCTTTAAGGTGAGGAAAAAAAAATATTATCTTTATTATGTTTTATTGAAAGCTAGACAAAAAATTAAATCATTAAACAAATTTTTTTTCCTCCCAGTGAGACATCACAAAAGATTCTGAGAAGCATTAACAATGCAAATATTATTTCATTCCTTTTAGCTTTTTTTACACCATCAGAATTAATTCCTACTCAAACTATTATTGCTGCAGGTATACTTACTTGTGTATCAATATATATATATATATATCTATTGTGCGTGAATTTGGAATCTGCGTCAATTTGAAATTCACGCGCGTGAAATTCAAATTAGCTAATCAGAATTTTGTATTCAAACACCCACCCCAAAGTTTAATCAATATTAATATTAATAAATTTCAAATTGACGCAAATTTGATTTTCACGCACAACATACTGTATGTATTTATGGTATGTATGCGTGCATTTTAAAATCTAACGAATTTAATTAAATTATTTTTTATTTAAGCACAATGTCTTAACACCCTTACAGACGAGAATCCAGATATTTATTTTCATTTTAAAAATAATCCAGAATATTTAAAATTACTTTATTATCATATTAATTCTGAAATTGGTGATAATAAAACGAGCGATGATCATTTGAATGTTAAAGTTTTGTCATGTGGTATTTCTTTTTTTTAAGTTAAATATTTAACTGAATTTTATTCAAATATAATATAATATTTGCTTATTTTGAATTTTTTTTTTTAGGAATTCTTTCAAATATTCGATCAATCCTATCACCTTCACTATTACCATCCTTATTTTCCGATATAAATTTTTATATAATTCCTGTGTTGATACCATGTTTATCTTTTGATATTCAAAAATGTGCTGAAGATGCAATTGAAACTGCTAATAACATTGTAATTTTATTTTAATTAAACAAAATAATCATACAATGTTAAAAATTATTCAAAAATTTATGATTTTTTTTTTTAAACCCCCACACATATTTAAAATCAGGAAACATCTGACACTCTCATAAAAGGTTCAAAGGATGCTATAACACCAACACCTAAAGAGGTTTGTAATATATATATATATATATATTTAAATTGTTGTTCAGTATCGATAAAAAGTATATTTATTAGAGTTTCACATATGTATTCCTTATTAAAATTTTTAGGTGAAGTTAAATTTCATTAATTCTAAATTAACCAATTTACAACTTGTACTTGAATTAATATCAAAAATTTGTTTAGAAATCTTAGTGAATAGTAAATAAATGCATATTTATTATTAAAATAAAATTTTAATTTTCTAACAATAGGCTAATTCTAAATGAATTTATTGTTTAATTATTAGATGATGATGACGATGGATGGGAAGATGTAAGCCAAGGTGAAGAGACGGATGATGGTGATGATATAGGGTTGAATGGTTACGAAAAAAAATATAATAAAGCGGCAGTAAAAGTTGAAAACATGGAGGATGATACACCTATGCTTGACACAGAAAACTCTATTATTGATAACGACAATGACAAAATATTATATAGTCAAAAAAAATCGATTCTAGAAACATTCACAACGATAATACTGCCAGCATTAATTCGGTTGGCCGCACCAACAAAACTTTCTTTTCAAGAACAAATGGGCCCCAATGTTATGCCACCACCTACAATTGCACCTATTATAACATCCTCGCTAGCAATTATACATCTTCGAGCAATTGAATGTATGAATAATTTTTTTTTGTCTATGATAGACTTTGAGGACAAGTTTTGGTATGATCAACATAAAGATGATGTTAAACAATTATCAATAACGCTGATTGATTTGGCTAACCAGGTAGCTGGTAAAGGTGTTAAAGTTGGAGCTGAGGATCCAGGACAAGAGATGAGAGGCTCTATTTTGGAAGCTTTGGTTGGATGTCTATGGACTTTGGCAAGAGGTTTAGATGGATATGTTGTGTGTATATATATATATAGTTTTTTAATTATTTTTAATATGTAACAATAATAATAGTAATGATAAATTTTTTATTTAGCCATTTTCCGAAGCTCAAATAGAAACATTTATTGTTTCGTACCATCATTCTATATCAGATAGTATGCGAGTAAAAATAATCGGTACTTTAGGTGTCGTTGCAAGAAGACAAAATGCCGTTAAAGAAAACAAAGTAAGATTACAATGCTTGCATATATGTTTATATATTTTATTATTATTATTTATTATTTGATTGATTGATTGATTGATTAAAAATAGATCATTGGAGATTTTATGATAAATGTACTTCAAAATCTACCACCAAATGGTTCAACTATATTAGATTGTGCTATTGAAGCATTGAATGCTATTTATGACATTTATGCAGACAAGAATTTTGATTATGATCAATACGTGTTTGTACAAGGAAATTATTTGAATTTATTACAAAATATAATGGATCCGTTTCGTGTGATGGTACATAATTTATGTTAATTATGGATCATATATAGTATTGTGTTTCAAAAAAGATAAATAAACAATTTTATTTTTTATTTTATATAGGTCAAATCTATTGATAAACGCAATTTTCGCGATCAAAGATTAAGGGCAGATGAAGCTTTAATCAATCTTGTTGCATTTATTAAATATAAAAAGGAGGAACGAAATTAAAAAATCTTTGTATTTATTTATGCAAATAAAAAAAATCAATAAATAAATTTAACGATTTTTTTTGGCGGCTCATAACAAATAACCTAAATATTTAATATGATTAAAATTATTGTGCGTATTATAATTAATAAACTTGGAATAAATTAATTATTAACCTTTTTCCTCCAATCTAAATTTCGCATTATCGCTATCAATAATCCACGACGATCGAAGAAATTTGGGATATATTCCAAGTCTTATACGATGTTTAAAAATTTTTGATTAAAAATAAAAATGTAAAATGGGAAAAAAATTTTTCAATCTAATAAAACATACCTTTGAAAAAATTCTTTTTCCGTATTGACACGACTTAAATCTTGATTATCAAATATCACATGGGTTATGTTTATTGAATAATCGTTTGATATTTGTGCTCCATTATAACGAAGAATCATCTCAACATATTTCAATCTTTTTTTTTATAAGATAAAATAAATGACATTGATTATCAAATATCACATGGGTTATGTTTATTGAATAATCGTTTGATATTTGTGCTCCATTATAACGAAGAATCATCTCAACATATTTCAATCTTTTTTTTTATAAGATAAAATAAATGACATGTATGTATATAAATAATATATTTACAATTATTATTATTTTTTATTCACCTATCACGACATCCCTCTCGTAAAGCCCATAAACTATCTTTTGATTCTTCTCCATCTAGATATTGTTTAAAAGGCAGATACTCAATAAAAACCACCAAATTCCTAAATAAAGAATTTGGTAATCCTCCATCATCAAAATACTTTTCCTCGATTTCATTAACCAACCGGAGATAACTCTCGTGATAAAGATTGATTTCTTTCTGCATTTCCATACCATCAAAAATCTACCCCAAAAAGTCAATTTGTTGAGAATAAACATTTCCTTTTTTTTTTTTGGCAATACTATAACAATTTATCAATTTGTTGTAACACACCTCTTTCAATGTTTCTGAATTTACTGGGTCCGTATAACTATCACCTGATTCATCCATTCTAGTAAGAAATTCTTGGGCTGTTTCTTGTGTAGTAAACAACATATATCTAGCAGGGGGGAATAAATATATTCAAATGATTTAGATAAATGTATGCGCGTGCTTTAAAATATTAAATACAAACTTTGGTCCCAAAGGTATAACTTCCATAACATCAATACAATCTAAAACCCATTGAGGTTTTATTATGTCATATTTTTCTCTTTCTATAAGATTACGAATACGAAGATCTATAACAAATATTTCCTTACTAATTTAATACAAATATACATAATTAAATTTAAAAAATTTGTAACAAGGTGATATATAATAAACTTTACTTGAAGTTGTATCAGCTAAAATGTACATATTAGGCTGTGCTTCATGATGTTGAAAAAATCTACCACCGTGTTCTTTAATTATACGTTCCAGATCTAATTTTGAATAATTTTGAAATTTTGGAATCATAATATCTAAAAGAAAAAAAATATTAAATTAATTGGAAAGAAATGAATATATAAGTTGGAGGAAAAAAACCAATACATGCGAAAGTTCATATTTTTGAATAATGTTGATTTCTTTTCAACTGTTTCCAAACGATTACTAAATGTTTCAAGTATAGAAGTTCCTTTTCCCTATAAGAGAAATTTTAAAATCATTAAAATTTCTTTATTTTAAAAAAGAATGAAAATGTTATTTAATATTGATGAATACATACTCTCAATGATCTACCCGTTTTCCCTCTTCTTATAGCTCTTGCAGTAGTTCTATATAAATATAAAATATTTATGAATAATTATTCATTATAAAAATAATCATAAAAAAAACTTTTTAATTTACATACAATAAATCATCATCTGTTACTTTTTTTGACTGTAGACGACCAGCAGCAAATCTTCTTAGGTTCATCATTTCTTATTAAAGAAAAATGAATAAATTAAACATAAATAAAATCCAATAATTATTGAATTCAATTAAATTTTAAACCTTCAAATGTCATAGAACTTTCCCAGTCTTTATTAAAACGAACTTTTTCAAATCGCGGAAATCTAAGTGTGTATCCGCATGCAAAGGAACCTCAAAAACAATTATAGAATTAATATTATCTGATATTAGGCATTTGATTAATTTTTATCTTTTTTTTGATTTTAAATATCTTACCTGTAGGAATTATTTCAGAAGCTCTAATTTGAACAACGACTGACCTTGATGTTTTAATTAATTAAGAGTACCAATGAAATCATGAAGAAGAAG